AAAGATGCAGAGTAGCCTTGTCAAAGTTAGTGTGAATCCTGATTGGAGACTGATAAACTCCTAGAAGAGAAAATTTTGAAGTCAGATATTAAGTTATGGTAATTGAGAACTTGACAACTAAAATTGAGATTGAGAAATGTGAAATGTTATTGAGAACTAGAATAATTACCATTATGTAAGAACAAATAAGCAGAAGCAGTAGACTACTGAATTAGCAGTTGCTAAATGTAAAATGTGTTGAAAGGCATTTGATTAAACAAAAAAAAGGCCTGCTAGTGTTGACCATGAAAAGAACAGAGCTGAAGTTTTGCTTTCAAAAGATAAGTTTGTTATGGGCTGTAATGAAACAGTTTGCTTATCTAAAATCTGATGTGTGCTGTGCCTGAAACTGCCAGTGCGACAGAGACTCAATCTGAGTGGAAATTTGTAATGTCTAAATTCCCTGAGATGGGCAAAAGACAAATATAAATAATATGTTTATTTGAAACCGTATGTAATTTCTGGCAAAGATGCCTTAAGCTGGGATAGAGTTAAAAGATGATAGATAAATGTTTGATGTTAGAAGTATATGAGAGAGCAGTGTACCATCCAATAGAGTCTCAGAGTCTCTCTCATTCAATGAGTCAGCTAAAAGCTGGTATCTGTGATAATGTGTAAAGCACAGTGTTTCAGTTGAAGGATCATAGACACAGAGATGTTTTAAAAATAAAACTGAATGACTTTAAAGAAGTTTTTAAAACAATAATACAGATAGAGATGACATTTTGATTAGGTTTTTTTAGGACCAGTAACTTCTTTGTCTGATCTTAGTCCCCACCATGAAACGGGGGAGGGGCCGACGGAAATGTACGGTGGTGATCTAAATTCACTGAGTATAATCCAAGTAGCTAGGTTGCTGCTTTTAAGATAGTTAATGGATTTAAGTGATTAAATACTGTTGTTATTGACCTGTCTCCCTATGTGAACACTATTAGGCAATCCGAATGGCTCTGGTGACTCTTGAACGTGCCTTTCCTAAGCTCTAGAAAACAGCTGAGTTCTGTTGAAGCAAACAGCCTGTGATGGGAAAGAGCGGTCACCAGTGTGTACAGTGGCTACTCAATGACGGGTTTGATCTTCCTGGCCAGGGGACAGCCTAACGCAGGGGGTCACGAACATTGGGCACCTCCGGGATGGAGGTGTTATATGTGAGAAAGGTATGAGAGTTGAGCGCTGATTACTGGAGGCCACCGGGGTCAGCAGAGCATTGAGAGGTGAGATGCGCTGTGAGGAACAGTCACGGCGGTCTGACCCAGAAAATGTGAGTTCCTCTATTTACCACTCGCCAGAAGAAACCGCATTCATTGTATGGCTTGTTTTTTTATTGTGACAAGCGTCTGCAAATATGCCAGGGGAAAACACCCTGATGGAGATTATAGATAAAGGGCTAACAGGAGTGGGCGAGCAGGAGCCAGCTGAGGCCATGAAGTGATTCCCATTAGTTGTTGTGGAGACAGTAGCAAAACTTTTTATGTACTGGTTGCCTTACGGGCAAGGAAAATCATAGTGTTGATTTTGAACTAATATGTTATAACATAGTTTTAACTCTTGAAGGTCGTTAGACATGGTGGTGGCTAAAGATGAAGACAGCTTTTGATTTAAGGAAAGTCTGGATGACAAAGGTGAATGGTCAAAGGTTATTGTAATGAATACAAATTTTGACTAAGTTACAGCCTTAGGAGGCTGGTGAAAAAATTATTTGTTTATAGTGAGAGAGACTGCTTGAGCGGAGGAAGGGATGGTAACTGTGTCTGTCTTTCTGTTATCGGCCTGCTAGAGCAAGCTGAAGCAAAATAATGATAATGAAACAAAACAACCCAGCTGACCTTGTTAAATTCTAATGAATAATGAACAAGACATGCTTTGAAACTGTTTGGGAGACCATGTAAAATTAGGTAGAAGCTACGGGAAAATGGGAAGTTTAAAATCTTATTTAAAATTCAAATCTTTAAGCAATAATATAAAGAAAAATGAATATTGAAAATGAACAGTTAACATATGTGTGTCTAGTATGAGTGCGTGTGATGGTGACAGCACTTTATGTCTTGTATGTATTAGTTTGGGGCACTAATATTCCGCCTGAATGGTGTGTATATTGCGTCATTAACCTCTGGAATGAGTTTATCATTACAGATGGGGTAAGGCAAATGACAAATTTTAAAGAAGCTGATAATTCTGATGAAAAGACAATACAGAACATGGGACAAGCTTTAAGTTGATTGGCCATCAAGCTCTGTCTGGTAGTAATAATTTTGTCATACATAATGTAGATTTGAAGATCAGTTTAAGTAAATTGGAATTGTGTAGTTGTAGATCACCATCTGGCATGGGCTGAGATAAATGAAAATGTTGTAGATTTGAGGGAAACAACAAAGTGACATATTGGCTAAGTCAACATGAAATTATCAAGAGAGCCCCTCACATTTATGATTATTGTGAACAAAGGGGGAGAAACGATTGACTGACATTGACCAAGTCTGTACAGCACGACTTGACCTGATAGGGAAAATTGATGACTTTGGAAATGTTTGTAGATGACTGACTTGAGAGACCAAACAACAGGCCTGAAAAGCAAGATTCGCTGTGAGACTGAGGGCCGTTGCCTTTCAAATACTTCGAGAAGAAGATGAGATTGTGGCTTTAAGTGAAGAATGTAATATTTTTGTTTCAGAGGCAGAGAAAATTTGGCTGAAGGACGGCGTTTGGGTTAGTGTTGATGGCAAACTTTATAAAAACACTATGTTAAATGTTATGTTAAATTGATGCTCGAGTTGTGTCGTGCATCAAGAGGGGGATGGTATAACAATTGCCAAATATGGTTTATTAAGGGGTTCACAGTTGCTGAATAAATGTTGGGAGAACACTAGGGGTAATTTGATAAAAGCCCTGAAAGAAGCCATTTTTCTGCCTAACAAAATTGATGTCTGTGAGTGTACACACACCAATAACAAAGATTGTTTCAACAGGAAACGCCAGGGCATCGAAGGACACGGGAGAACAGTAGACAAAAGAAACTGCGTACTTTACTATCTGACAATAACCTCGAAATTTGTTTCTCTTTACAGAGAGCATGCAGGATTGGGAGACAGGGCAAAATGTGCCAATAAAATAATGGTTATGGATGAATTTGGCTAACTGTCCTGGCCTGGGTTATTATTGTGGGAGAAAGGTGCTACACCTGCGCAGCGCATAACTTAAAATTTTCCTTTTACAGAATGTCAGGATGGATTGGATCAAACAGAACTAATTCTGTTCCAAATGTATGAATATTGACTTGTTAACGTAAGCAAAGTAAATATTGTGTTTTTCAGGGTAAAAGGACCCCGAGTGCTATTAAGTGAGCAAGAAATTATCCGGAGATAATGTTTCAGGTTGTTGATTCCACAGGTCACACCAAAGGGGACGAGCTGCTAGACAAGCGGTCACTAACAAAATACTTAAGGTCTCCATTCACAGGTGACAGTTCACTCCAGTGGGGGTGCGGTCGTGATATAAGGGAAAACCTTATAAGGATCAGAAAATGGTTGGAGAGTGTGACACCTGGGTCCAAGCCTCTCACCTACACCGACAGGCCACAACCATCCCATAGTCCATGGGGCGAACGAGATGATCAACACGCCTGGAGGAGGATGTGAACCAACTAATGGTTTAAGAATGTGGTTTTGCGATTATTTTGGGGATTTTATTTGATTAAATCAAAATAGGGCTTAGTATTGATATACAGCAGATCAAAAGATTTGATTGGTTACTTATTCATTAGGAAATATTTAAGGAAAATGTTTTTGGGAAGAGAAGATCTATTAATTAATGTAAATTATAGGGATAATTGTTGAAGCTTATTAAGTAGAACCACAGCATGTTTGAATTAAAAGTTAAAGGTAAAAGAACACGGAACGTCCGTGGCGCGAACGAGATGATCAACACAACTGATGGTTTAAGTTTAACAGAAGAATCTGTTTTTGTGATGATTTTGTTTGATTGAATCAAACTAGGTATTGATTTGATTGTAAATGTAGAAAATATATTGATTGTGTCTGTAATGGAAATATTAGAGTTAATATTGAACAACTGCATTGGTTAGAAGAATGGATAAAATTATAAGACTTCTCTGGTTAGATTTTGTTAAATATGGCATTAAATAGAGCTTACTAAATTGAATTAGAAGTGAACAAAATATGGTTAGGAAAACCGAGGTGAAATATGGAGATGGGCGTAGAATAATGGAAAAGGCTTAATGATAGGAGTTAGGATTGTTATTCTAATAATTTTGTTATTCATGGGGGAATACGATTACAGTGACAGGTGAAACATGCTGTCTGTTCAATTGGTGAAAATGACAGTCTATCCCAAGGATGAACAAAATTATGTGACGATACAGGTAGCGGGAGCTACAGTGAGATATGTGTTAAATGTATGTTCTGTTTGTTTTTCTTCTATTTTGTTTATTTTCTGAGAAAGATTAAGGGCAAAAGATTTAAAGAAGGTTACAAGCAGCGGTCATCCGTGTTACGAGATGGCGTACAAAGATAGGGTTTGAAACTGAGTGATTTTTATTATACTTTTATCTGTTTGTTTCCTTACTATGTTATAACTACCTTTTTCCTTACTGGCGTGACTGAGGGTCTGTTTACAGGAGCGCAGGAACAGTGATTTCTCGCTTAGCCCGGCGCAGTAAAAATGTTTACTTGCTAGCTAAAATATTACGGGGCCTTTCCCCCACAAAAACAGCCTTATGCTTCTTCATTCTAAACTTTTCTTCACAGGTTCAAGGAGAGTGATCATTTATGCAAAAATCAGAGATAAAAAGTATAAGTGTGATGATATGACTTAAAATTTGTCTTATTGTTTATTATTGTGATTATGGGTAATCAGAATGATAAAAAGTGAGGAGTTGTAGTGGCAATTTTAATGATATTCATTGATCTTTAGTAGAATATAGATGATTCAAAGAATGTCACATGTGTGTCTCACTTGTAGTGAGAGAAGATTCTGTTTATGTACCTGGGGAGGCAGAAGAGGGAGACACTCCAGAGAACAGACGAACAAGGACCTCTGACCTAGATGTCAGAAGGCCATTTTGGTGCAGGGGGGCTTATTGGGCCAACTAGTGACGTCTATGGAAAACTACTGGGAGGAAGGCTCTGGGGGGAAGAAGGCCTTGAAACTAAGATAAAAGCTAGTTCAGTCTGTCTGGGGGTGTGTCACTCTTCTGCACAGGGTAACAACTGTGTATTAGACTGCTCCTATTCTTGCAAGAATAAATACTTCTATTTTATATAATTTGACTCTGAGTGTCTCTTACGCAGTGATGTTTGTTTGAGATGAATTTTTGCCACAACACCTGCATGCATACGTGTATCCTTGCATTTTAACTACAAGTTGATTGCATAGATCACGTTTTACAGACAGGTAAAATTTAATTAGCTCAATTGATTAATATTGGGGGAATCCCACATATCATCTTACTTCATAGGATTTCAGGAAACGCAATTCTCTGGCCAGAAGAACTGGGTTTTCTGCCCTATAAACACATACTCTTTAAAGTATCTTTAATTTATAAAGCCGTAGCTTGATCTAGTCATTTCAGAGACCTGGAGTATGAGCAGACACAGTAACATCAATCAAAATGAATATAATGGATTTAATAAAGGCATGTCTACTTATATATTTACTACGGTACAGGAATATATATATTTACAAACAAAAAAGACATAAACAACACAATAAGACATCAATGAACGAGAAAGTGTGTGAGATATAGAGATATGGATAAATTACACGCGTGAGAGCGAGTAAGAGAGAGAGAGAGAGAGAGAGGGTTACGTTCACCTAGACAGTCAACTTTCCTGAAACAACACGAAAACACATTCTTAATGCTCTGAAAACAGGGTAACCCAAATTTACTTGCATGTGGAAGGGTTCTCTCATGTGTTGCTGCGTTCCTTGAGCGGCCTGCATGGTCTAGCCGCGTTTTGGACGGCAGATCTTTTGTTCTCCGTGCGCGTGCAGCCCGCATGGTTTAGCCAAGGGGGTAATCTATCGACCGGAAGTTGAAGCCGGCCGGGTGCCGCCATCTTGTAGCAGAACTTCACTTGCGTTAGCATTTCCATTGACTCCCATTCATTTTGGCGTCACTTTGACAGCAAATAACTTTACATCTGAGGCGTTTAAAGACTCCATTTGTCCATTATTTATTTCTAAAGAAACACGACAATGTATAAAGGGCTCCATTACCTTCTATGTTACATTATGGCCCCGTAGAAACAGATTTAGTAAAAATAGGCTAACGATTGCGTCATAACCATTCGACTCTCTGTCGCGCTGTACAGAAATTACCGTACAGACAGGAGTAGAAGCTTGCAGGCAATCGGGGGGACGTCCCCTCAAGGGAGAAGCCCATAGATAATGAGTCCATAAAAGCAACGGAATACTTACTCCTGCTCACTCACGATAAAGGATTCTTTGCTCAAGTTCCCCGTCTCTGCAAGATTAACGTTGGCAATTTTCACGCACAGCTACTAGAAGATTAACGTCTGTCAGACAGGTTGCTCACGTCATCAAGCTTAGTTTGAGTCGGTCTGAGTCTGCGCGTCAGGAACGGAAGTGCTCAGAAATCGCTAAAAGTGGGCTTCAACTGTCTCAACTGAGTTCCAATGAGATCGCTCTGTCCATTTCTTTTACTGTCTATGGGTTTAGCTGCGTGCGTGAGCTGAATCCTTGGTTCCGTGGAGTCACGTGATGCGGCGCGAGTCTTTGAACAGCAGTCGGAAGTCTTTTAGGTCACGTTACCAACGGAAATAGATCGGCTCAGGTCATTTCACTTCGTGGAAGTGAAACAAGTTGAGTACAGAAAACAGATCTTAGGCTAGAAAGTAAAGAAAAGATCCAGGATAGGATCTGATCCCCTGAGGGGACATCCGCGTGAATTACATGTTTCTGACGCGCTGGAAAGTTCAAGAGAGAGTTGGGCGGAGCCGCGCTCCTACATTTATCACCTCGGAGAAATCCATCCCCTTCCTGTTCACTGGGCCAATCGGGGAATGGGTGTTGCACGCGGGAACCCTGGTTTATTGTCCTTTGTTTGGGAGAACGTGCCCCTCGTGGTACAGGGGTGTGTTCAAGGAGGGTGTATAGTTTAACAGTTTGAATCTTCAATGGCGGTAAAACCTATTAAAAATACACTTTACTTTATATCTCTTTGCATATTCAGATAGCCCGTTCCATGAGCATTTTAGAGGTGTCAAACACATCAAATGAAAGTCAAAGGAAAAATACAGAGGTATTTAATATGCATAAAGAAGGTATTTCTAATGTCTATTTATGCCGTGGCCAAACAAAGATATTTCACTGTGACATGGGGAAAAACATATACATTTAACAAAATATATTTAATGGTTTTTATGTCTTTACCCAACAGAAATGTCCGTCTCTTTGTTCAGAGACATTCTGCGACATTCCGATGGGTTATAAAGTCTCGTAACAGGAGCTTCCCTCGTGTGTTGGGGGAGGGAAGGGCTCGTGTGTGTGTTTGTGTGTGTTTTTTCAAGGCTTTGGGATTTTAGCACGGTGGTATTTAGTTATTCAGATTCACCCTCGCCCAGTCCTTACAATCGTGTAGCGGACTTCGTCTCACACCACAAAGAAACTCCCGACACCACTGGCTTCGGTGGACCACGACTGCAATTTATTAACAGAGGACAGAACATCAACACAAGCCTTCAGGTTTACTCTGTTTCAGCTGACTCTCTCCAGTCACAGGCTGTTCTGAGGATTTTACACAAAGTCTTGTATTACAACAATCAATTTCTTTTCATGTCTTATTTATGAAAATTCACATTCACACAAACTAAATTAAAGAAATAAAATTCCATAAAAAGTACATATTTTTACATTAATATTATAGCCAAAATGCCTCAATTTGTTTGATCGTACAGTGGTATTTTCCCCTCTTGTTGTTGTTAAACATACCTGCAATTTATTAACAGAGGACAGAACATCAACACAAGCCTTCAGATTTACTCTATTTTAGCTGAAGGATGTATGAGAAAAGACACGTTAAGTACCGTCCTCCATAACAACAACTGCAATTAATCTAGTACACAGGTCACACATATGGCTATAAACATACATTTTACCATCCAAATGAAAGCTACACACATTTAATACACTAAACAACATTTCTACAGACTCAATCCACCAAAATTATATGTGGATAAAATTATTAACAGGGAAAAACCTGCACTCTAATTTGGCGCGCAGGTGGCAACATAAAACAAACACGTGCGTTTATAAAACACAGAAAATACATTGAACTGTTGGCAGAAAAATGCATATATCATCTCGTTCCCGTTTTATGACACTTCTAAAATAGATATCAACTTGAAACTTCACTTAATATAGCATATTTTCACTCTTAAATGCAGAGCACTACACAGACATACCTGACTCTCTCCAGTCACAGGCTGTGCCGAGAGGGGATTCACTAAAGTACAGGGGTTTCAGTACCGCGACGCACAGGGGGCGTATCCGAGGGTGTGGCCGTCACACCCCTTTCAAAAAATTTTTTTTTATAATTTGCAGGTCACCGCACATGCGCAGAGTGTAATGCCTTCTTCCCGCGCACTTTTCAAATTAGATACAGAACTGATGGATGATGAAGAGCAGACGGGTACATTAAACAGCCATGGACAATCAAGGACAGAGCAGCGAATTCAGTAACTGTTTTTGAGGTTGTGTTATGATCAAGAGGCAAACGGTTTTGTAAAAGATGCGGTAGGATTCACGTGGTTTCACGTGAGATAACGTTAACGTTGTCAAGTTTCATGACAGATTCCTGTCCTAACTGTACCCAGACAACAAATTAGATCGTGCCGACGTTGGGGCGCATGTGCCTGCCCGACATAAAGTGCCTCGGTGAGATGTCTTATGGAGATCGGTAGCTAATCGGCAAGACATTGGGAAGACGGTGGCATTAGAATGATCGCCGATCGTGAGCCAACGTAAACCCGACATGATCGCCGACCGTGAGCCAACGTAAACCCGAAATAATTATTATGACCTATTCAGCGCGATCCCACTAGAGCGGCGAAAAACATTCAGACGCCTCGTTCCCTTTGACTTCACACCGGAACAGCTGATTTTCGGTTGCATCGCTGGAAACAACACAGCATGCTTGAAAATCAGCTGTTCCGGTGTTAAGTCAAAGGGAACGAGGCGTCTGAATGTTTTTCGCCGCTCTAGTAGGATCCCACCGTTATGTCTTATTGATTTGTTTAGGCTAACTGCTGTCAGATTGTTCCAAGGACACAAGTTGCTTATTGTCTATCAACAATCAATAACAATATGATTTGTTAATCGTAACATTTCTTCCCTAACAATTGACAATTGCAAGTAAATTGAAATGAAATTGAAGTGAAAGTTAAATTGAAAGTTAGTGATTGTTTGTGTAGGGTATAGCCTATTTCATACACAGTCTGACTACCTGGGAAATGTCAGTCTAACATAAAAAATGAATGGATCAGTGATATTGATATTGAAATTAAGTTTGATGGTCATGCAAATTAAGAAATAATAAAATAATAAAAAGGAGAAATAATAAAAAGGAGAGCACCGGAAGATGACCTTGAACATTTATTTTTTACTTTTGTTTTTGCAAAAGCAGTATCATTTATTTTAACACTCATCAAATCACACATAGAAAAGTACAACAACAACAAAAAGAAATTCCCTCCAAAATAGGTAAACAGGAAAAATCAGTCCAATCAATTATTTCACTTTAAGATGCTCGCCCCCTTGCTTCCTGTCCCTCCTCAGCCGCAGCCAGTTTCTCACAGTCATCTCTACATCTGCCTCAGTGGAATTTTGTTGGGCAGGATTTCTTAACACAACACCTAAACGAAAAAAAGAAAAGAAAAAAAAATTACACTTCTACTAACTCAGTCTGATGTTCTGAGTAAGAAGTGCAGTAGCATACATTACATGTAAAATATCTTACCATTGTTAGTTCTCTGAAGGACCCCTGGAAAAGGGTAGCGTGGGTGCTGCAAAGCACACAAGTCGTCTTTATTATCCGGCGGCGTCACTAGAAAATACAGAAAAACTAAATTATTGGAGTGAACAGTAAGTCAAGTTTATCACAATTATATAAACTAATGTCAGTGAGCTGAGTAATTGCCACACATTATTATCAGCAGCAACTCATCTTAACCCATGTCAAAATAACAGAGCTAACCCAGTGTCACTCCACATCAGTGGTTCTCAAACTTTTTCTGTCATTCCCCACTTTGCATAGAACTGTGCTGTGCTCTATGTGTGTTTGCAAGTGTGTGTCAGTGTGTTCTTTGTCTGCGTCTTAAATAGCTTACAGTCAGGAAAGCCTTCAGTCTATGGAAGCACATGGGTAGCAATATTCAATTTGAAATGTAATATGCAAAATATCTTCGGAAATACTACCGTTTCTCTGTTCACGCTCCACTTCATCTGCTAAAGAATTTAACGCTCGAATTAGCTCTGCCGCAGCAACACCTCAAAACACGTAACATAGCCATAACATGTTATGTTTACCTGTTGTTACCGAGCCCCGCCTTGATGCAGTGATTGACAGGGCAGGAGGGGGCGTGATCGGCTCAGAATGCATTTTCAATGTGCACATTTAATTTTGCTACATCCATTGCGGGACATTTCATGAAAATGCAATCGCAAGTGTCTTGACTGTGTGTAAATGCAATTAAGAAAAGTAACATTTGAATGATCATTTTGCCACAGTTTTTGCTTGAACATGTTACACATATCTAGTGTTGTCAAAATATTCGGTACTTCGGTACCAAGTCGGTACTAAAAAAATGTAAACGTCACGGTACCAAGTCCCGGTGGTACCGAGTACCCAACCCGGTTCTGGATGCGCATGCACGAAGGGCGTGAAGTTGCGTCTTCTTCATGAAAGCGCTGAGACATGGCGACCAGCGGCGCTGCTGGTGTGGTGTCTGTGTATATTACACTGCAAAAAGACTATTTAAATATGAACCCTGCATGTTCTGCTTGTCTCTGTGTGAATGAACGGCGCAGACGCGCGATTTCATTAAACGTTACCTCTCACACACACACACACACTGAAGCACAACGTGACGCTCGCGCTGTTTTCAGTCTCTGCTGCCTCACGATATGATGACATGATTCATGATTCCATTCATCTCCGAGAGTCACTTCATGAGCAAACCGTTTCATTTGAGAAAAACTATCGTCATATCATACACGCACAGAAACTCAAAAGGTCTTCACGGCAACCCGTCAAAATAAAAGTTTGGTTTAACTTAAAGAAATTGACAGAAATAATTATATTAGGCTACTGTACAATAGATTTAACTACGTCTCCATTAATTAAAGATACTACTAATAATAATAATAATAATGTGTGCATAGAAGGTTGCTTATTTTTCACTTGACTTTTTTTATAAGCAATATTTCTCAATGTCATCAATATTTTCGTTTAAACAGCATGTAGCCTTCAATCCTTTCATAAATTTACCATCATAAATAATAAAGTCATTGAATTGAATTTAAAATATATATTTTTTTTTCAAATAGTTAAATAAATTATATAAAAAAAATAGTTCTAACTGATTTTGCTGTGGTACCGAAATTGGTACCGAGAACCGTAACATTTTAATGGTATCGGTACCGACTACTGGAATTTTGGTACCGTGACATCCCTACACATATCTAATCATTTCTGTAATGCATTTTCATTTTGCCACTTATAAAGCGTTTTGTAGTGATAATCAGATGGTATGTGGAGTAAATTAACTAGATTCTAATTTACTAAAGTCTCTTCCATTCGTGAGTAAACAAAGGGGCATTCTGTATACGATCCCCTTCGGGCATGTTGACCAGATTGGTGCCACTATGGCTAGCACATGACACATTTGGAACAAGCCAGCGTTGTCTTCAACAAATAGTCAGCCATTCAAACCCCTCCGTCTCACGGGACACGCATTCCCCCCACAGAAAGAGTCCACAAAGCTGCCTGAACGCTGAAGGACAATCACACATTGATTGCACACACACACACACAAATGTCCTATAATGTGTATATAAATGTATACTGTATAACACAGAAATTGGATCCAACCTTCCGGTATGCATGCATATCTAATTAGTCTTGTCCTATTCTATAGATGTAATTTTAACTGTTCTGTAACTTCGAACCTTAAAGTTTATTTCTAAAGAAAGGTTCTATGACTCTCCCTCTTGCTAGGTCATAAAACTTTATGACTCCCAAAAGGAATTCCAAAGGAAATCACAGCTCCCACTTGAATTCTGATGAAGAAAGAGGAATAGACTCTGCAATCTTATATTGTCTATAAGTATAACCACTTAAGAAATGCATAAACATGAATTTGATATTTCCTAGGTCATGGTAGCAGGTATTATGGCTTTATAGTCGTGTGAAGAAACTTTAAAATGCTTGTAATTCTGCATATGAATGTAACTATGTTCTTCTACTTTTACCTGCCATGTCTGGTAGCTGTGTGACCGTCTTGTTTTGACTGAACCAGTCATACATAGGATATTACTGTAAAATCTATTGTCCGGTCTGTACAATCTTTCTGGGTAGGAATGACAAAATGTTATACCATCATAAATGATCCTGACAAGACAAAGAGGAATCTTCCGCGGCACTTTTCTCCCAGCTGATTGGTGCCTTCATGCCAGAAGGGGCGTGAACCTAAGTGTCCTTAAAGAGACGCGCCGAGCTTCCCTTGACTGACTGCTGAAACCCTTCGAAAAGTTTCCTGAAAACTCTCTGCCTAAACTCCCTGGCTCTTCCTGCTCTTTGTGGCTTCATCATGTGACTCCTCGTGCGTCTGGACATCGCCTTAGTGTGATGATCCATCGTTTCTCTCTTTGTTTTCTTCAAGTTTATTTTATCTTTTTCGAAGTCTCCTCTGTTCATGTCTTCTCGCGAAGAAAATGAACACAACCAGACTGGCAAGCTTCACCTACAAGGACATTCAAACACGCCGCGCTCGCTGGACGAACCCGAACGCTCGACATCCACCTGACAGAGATACACGCACACGCCGTTTTCAGATCGGTCACACCCAAGAGCGCCTCTGCAAGTATCCGTCTTACTATGCTTATTTAAGATCTGTTGAGTCTTGTTCTAATTCAAAAGGTTCTGTGTCTGTGATGAATTGTGCCAAGAAGATCTCATCTTCTCTCTCTCTCTCTCTCTCTCACTCCCAATCTTGCGCCCTCGCAACCTCTCTCTCTCTCTCCTATGTGTACTCGTCTGTCTCGTTAGTTTTACTGTTTAACTGTACATACATGTATCCTGTGTTCAAATGTAGAATTCTGTATCCGTAGTTTCAATTATTAAAACCATATTCTTGATTGATCCTGAAGTGCTCATTTACAAGTCAATGAAATGAATATCTCGCTAAAAAGCTTTACAAGTTGTTACTATCAGTAACGTAAATTTTATAAACGCGAGAAAATTAATGTTCACGGCCGGAACATTGAGATTTCTTGGAGTTTATAAAAAGGGACAACCTTGTTGAGAAGTTGGTTAGTTGACCTTACGGCTGTTTGCTGGACAAACCGATTGTTTGATAAACTAAATTGATTCCCTTAAAGTTGTCTCATATAATCGATCTGTAATGAGACCATTGATATATGAATGAGGAATTATAAATCGTTATGATTTACCATTCATATATACAATCGATCTATTTTCAATTTCGATAATTCAACTGTAATATGCAATATATTAATCATATACATGATTAATTATTAAAATTCCCTATGCATAATTTGAGCTAATTAAGGCACATCTCAATGTCGCTACAGTTTCAATATGCATATTAAAACTAGTGTATGAAATGGCAAATGTAAATTATGTATTTTCATTTTCATTTTGCACCAAACGTTGCTAGAATGGTAATGTAAAATGTAAATTTAAATACACAATGCAATGCCATTTTACATATTGCATTGCCATTTTGCATATTACATTTCAAATTGAATATTGCTACCCATGTGCTTCCATATCAGTCCTCCAGTCCTCCTTATTGAATATTAACTGCGGCCTCTTGGAAAGACAGAAAACCTTGGCTTACTTATCACACTACCAATATAAACTCAAAAATCATATCTGGAACATCAAACTATGGTATGCGCTGTGGACCTGTGCAGTACACTGTGTCTACTTGAGTTTAGGGGCCTGATGCATTTTACTACAGAGGGGACACTTACCTTTACTATACGATGATGTGGGATGGGCTGGAGGAGATTTGTTGTGCGTTTTCTTCTTCTTTGCCTGTGTTGTTTGTGGTGCATTTTGGGTGTCTGATGAAGGGCACGATGCAGGGGATGATGGTGGTGATGGTGATCTAAGTCGCAATGGTCTGTAAATGAAACGTTTTTACAAAGATTAGTTTTCATATTGATCACATCGAACATAGAGAAATATGACATGGGTGACATACTCTGTGTGATACAAAGAGGATGATCAAAAAGTCAAACAACATATGATGCTCACTGAAATTGGAAAACCTTTTAAATATACACAATAAATGAACAAAACAACCAAAAACAATAAAAGCAATGTCCCGGTTAACAGAAAATGCACTTGAATAAATACCAAAAACAATAAATAAAATGGTTATAAACAAAACCTGACCATACCCTAAATTATTTGTTATTAAAACATTAACACACAAACCACTGTTAATTTAACATAAAGCAAGCAGCTACTGCGTGCATGGTCTGGCATGACTGAATGCACTCCATTAATAATTCCAAAAAAGCAGACAGTTCATTGCGATCTCACGCGTCTGTTATTATCAATGAAGCTGACTGCACAATGAATCTTTCATAATATCTACACTTTGTTTGTTATAATTAGAGGATTTGCCAGCATACAGAATTCAGCACTGAATAAAAAAAGTCTGTTTTGAGCAGTGAGGGAAGTATATCTTAAATGCTTCTGATTGGCCATTGCGTTCAAGAAATCAACATGTCTGTGATTGGCTACATGGCCTGTAAATCGTTACTATTTTGTTTTAGTTGTTCTTGCAGATGACTAAAAATCTATTAGTTTTTATATGTTTTATAATTAGATATTTCTAGTTTGCGGGAGTCCCGCAAATCGTTTTATTCTCCCGCAACCCGCACACACAGGGTTACCGAATCTAGTGCAGAGCCGCACTCTATTGCGTTGGGAGTGCACGTCTCTAGATCAAAGGCCCGGCCCGAGGATAGTGTCGGCCCAGGTCGGGTCAAGTCCTTGCTCGGGCAGAGAATCTAAGCTCTAGTTCACGCTAAGGAACAGAGAGTTTGTCATCCAGTCTCTTTGGTATAGAGAGACAGAGAGAGACGAGGAAAACAAAAAAGCATGCAAATGTAAATTATCGCGTCCGGAAAAATTTGAGTTTGCCATGCCTCTATCATATTTGCTGAGTGACAAAAAATACCTTTTATTGACAGTGATAGACAGTTGACAAATATCTATACCAACATAAACATAAAATTTGCAACGTTACAGCACTCAGCATTAACCTGATGTTGACAATGGAGTTCTCCTGTAGCCTTATCTAGGTCAAAGATAAATATTTCCACTACATTACTGCCCTGGCCTACCTGTAAACCATTCCCTTGCAACTGGTCCTCTCGCTCCACTATAAGGTATAGGCTTTCCTGATGCTAAATTAATAGTACAGTAAAGGCAGAGACAGGTAAAGGTCACATTTTTTAGGATCTTAGGATGCCAATAATCAAGACAAGCAAACAGGGGAAAGTTATTACATACGTGTGTATCAATATGTGAAGACCCTAGAGATGTCCCCTACTCGGCTCAATCCAGATGGTTGTGGTGCTGGTCCACTGGGGAGACCATGCTGTAGTTCCAGCCGTCGTGTGTGCTGACGCGCCAAGTACACTGCAGCCGTAATGCCGGACAGAAGGGGAGTCACACCAACATATGGAAAGAAGTGTAAATGGATGGAGAAGCATAGTTTACTGTAAAGCTACGTTACGTCTTAGTTTGTGCTAATCTTGGCGAAAGCCGAGTACAAATCTGCATGAAGTTTTAACATCTACTCTCGTGTAATGGAAATCATGTGCAAAATAACTTTTAACTAGATTAATTAAAGATAGTGTTTCAGTTGTCTTTGAGGTTAATTAAAACACATACTTACTGTACAAAGGCAAAGACGCTGTGTAAAATGGGCCTGGGCTCTGAAAAGAGCCTTTGGGGTGTATGTAGCTCCTGTTGAGAAAAAGAAGAAACATGAAAAGGAGTCAAATATATTGCAAATGCCTTTGTGAATTAATGTGCACTCAATTTATCTTTATTGACTAAAACAGTATGTTAAGAACATGGCAAATCAGAACTGTATGATGACTTCTAGATCGATCACTTACAAAAATTCACTGAAAAAAAAGAAAAGACCATTCTATTTTGTTTAACTAACAAAGGTTAAGGCTCTATTTTATGAATAGCTGTGTGTCTTCACTTACTATCACTTTACTACATAACCATTCTTTGTCTGACTGTCTTGGCTGCGCGCTTGTGCTAAACTGGGTCTTTGATTGACAGGTCTACTTTTAACGGTAATAGAAACGCACAACAAAAGAGCTGCTTTAATTTTAAGCATATGTCACTTAAACAAAATCATTAAAAATCCCTTAAGTGTAAGGGGTTAATATTATAAAGGGACAGATGTCATTGTTGTTTGGAAAAAAGTCAGTCCATTAATTTTATGACCGTTTATTAGTTTAGCCTGCTTGTTTTGTTAACGTTAACGTCAAGTTACCTCTCCTCAGACTGATGAAAAACGAGTTCCCCTCATGTCTAAAAATACATACTGTCAAAAATAACTCATTGAAAATATTTAATACGAGAACATATAACAGTCAGTTAATAATAACTAAAGTCAACAGTTAGTTAATAACTAACCAGAAACACGTAATTTAAAGTTAATAATCCTCCGCCGCCAATTTCTGTCATCCGTATCGAAAACATTTCTCAGAAAACTCGACGTTTTCTAACAAAATTATATTTTTCAATAAAAAAATAAGTACACAAAACAAAGTAAACACTTACTGGACTGAAAATTGTGTGTTTGAAAAGGATAAACATACTCACAGAGTCCGTTAATTGCCACCGAACCGATGCTGTAGTCGACTTTAGCTGTGTAGACTGTAGAAGACGATGCTGAAATCACTCACGCGCACCCTCATAAAAACGTGTGCACGCGCGTGAACCAACGGTTGCGCAGATATTATTTATTTAAAAAAAAGAAGCGGGATCGGCAAAATGGTTCATCACGGTTCCTCACCGATCTCCGGAGTTGTGCATGCATTGGAGTGGCTGTACATTCATCCCGCCGATGGTTTACCTACCGAAGTTTTTTTGGTGTGCAGGGGAAAATCCCCTCCCGATACTTTGCCGCTGGTGCCCTCCAATTGCCAACGTTGGCAAGACTGAACGTGCTATCTGGGTACAGATGCATCAGATACCTGTGTGTGTTTACAGGGGTTTCATGACAGATACCTGTCCTAACTGTACATGTGCATCAGACACCTGTGTGTGTTTACAGGGGTTTCATGACAGATACCTGTCCTAACTGTACATGTGCATCAGATACCTGTGTGTGTTTACAGGGGTTTCATGACAGATTCCTGTCCTAACTGTACATGTGCATCAGATACCTGTGTGTGTTTACAGGGGTTTCATGTCAGATTCCTGTCCTAACTGTACATGTGCATCAGATACCTGTGTGTGTTTACAGGGGTTTCATGACAGATTCCTGTCCTAACTGTACATGTGCATCAGATACCTGTGTGTGTTTACAGGGGTTTCATGACAGATACCTGTCCTAACTGTACATGTGCATCAGATACCTGTGTGTGTTTACAGGGGTTTCATGACAGATTCCTGTCCTAACTGTACATGTGCATCAGATACCTGTGTGTGTTTACAGGGGTTTCATGTCAGATTCCTGTCCTAACTGTACATGTGCATCAGATACCTGTGTGTGTTTACAGGGGTTTCATGACAGATTCCTGTCCTAACTGTACATGTGCATCAGATACCTGTGTGTGTTTACAGGGGTTTCATGTGAGATTCCTGTCCTAACTGTACATGTGCATCAGACACCTGTGTGTGTTTACAGGGGTTTCATGACAGATACCTGTCCTAACTGTACATGTGCATCAGATACCTGTGTGTGTTTACAGGGGTTTCATGACAGATTCCTGTCCTAACTGTACATGTGCATCAGATACCTGTGTGTGTTTACAGGGGTTTCATGACAGATACCTGTCCTAACTGTACATGTGCATCAGATACCTGTGTGTGTTTACAGGGGTTTCATGACAGATTCCTGTCCTAACTGTACATGTGCATCAGATACCTGTGTGTGTTTACAGGGGTTTCATGTGAGATTCCTGTCCTAACTGTACATGTGCATCAGATACCTGTGTGTGTTTACAGGGGTTTCATGACAGATTCCTGTCCTAACTGTACATGTGCATCAGACACCTGTGTGTGTTTACAGGGGTTTCATGACAGATTCCTGCCCTAACTGTACATGTGCATCAGATACCTGTGTGTGTTTACAGGGGTTTCATGACAGATTCCTGTCCTAACTGTACATGTGCATCAGATACCTGTGTGTGTTTACTGGGGTTTCATGTGAGATTCCTGTCCTAACTGTACATGTGCATCAGATACCTGTGTGTGTTTACAGGGGTTTCATGTGAGATACACTCAAACAAATAATTCATTGGATGAACATGATTTTATCATGCCACCTATATTCCATTTAAACAAACCAAGTTAAGTCAACCAACCTTTATCATGTTAGTTGAACACAAAATAGATGTGTTGGTTAAACATGATTTTAACATTTCCATTCAACTTATTTGCATCTTTTTTGAGTTACATGATCATTCCTAGTTAATTTAGTGAGATTACTTTGAGTGTATTCTACATTGGTCAAACACATACATTGTACAAACAAACATGCATACAAAAAGACAACATGCAAATCCATTTAACATTTTTATTTATGCAACATTTTGCCTGCATTACATCTGAATTGTAGCAATTGGCTACTAACTGGAAACAATTTACCAGATAACAATGAGACGTTTTCCGATACTGCCTAAAAGCGGTATCGTTAAGTACTGAAATTTATGCACAGATCCAATACCATGTAATTTAGCAAAGAAAGAGAATCAACTTTAAAGTAGTAAAAAAAAAAAAAATCACATTACACTCACTTGTCAAACTGCATAAAAGGTTAGGCATTCATTGTTTGTATTACAAGAAGTTAAACCTGAGCCGCATACAGCAATGACGGTTTGGGTATTAGAATATAAAGACAAAATGGTATCAGAACACCTCTGAACATAAGTTTCATCTGGGGCACCAAAAGTACAAACACAAAAGTGCAACACGTGGTGCTTTTTGATTCCTACCAAAAATATACCATATATATTTTAGTACTCTTCTCACTGTTATTTTGCCTGCCACTTGTAAAGAACATATTACTATATAAAAACATGGTATAAGCATAAAGCTACACATTTTAATTCAAACCTTGGAAATCTCTAACATGACATTTCTTATTTTTCTTTCAGCTGCTCCACCTTTGCATCAAACACGTTTTCACATTAGTATCAAATATCTTAAACCTATTAAAATATATTTTTTAACTTGTAAAATTGGTGGGGTTTTATGTTAAAAGTTTGCAGCATGTAAAACATTTTATCAAAATATGTAACACTAGTAAACATCCTTAAACAATCCAACACTAATAAACATTATACAATCTCAGTATTTGTGAATGACTCAAGTTTTTACAGTCCGCATACATTGAGCAAACTAAAAGTCCTTTTGAAAACAAAGCAAAAATTAATAAAAAAAAAACTGCCTTGAAGACCTCTACTTTAAGCAATCACTTCAAAAGTGCATTTGAGGTCTAGTTGGTTGCTTCACCTGTTTACAGTCAGTGTCCATTGAGCACACTTAAAGTCCTTGTGAAAAAAAATAATAAAAAAATCAGCATACTTCTACTTTGAGCAAATTTACTTCATGAGCTTGTTTTTTAGGAACTGTGAAATGGTATCAGAACACCTCTGAACATAAGTTTCATCTGGGGCACCAAAAGTACAAACACAAAAGTGCAACACGTGGTGCTTTTTGATTCCTACCAAAAATATACCATATATATTGAAGACCTCTACTTTAAGCAATCACTTCAAAAGTGCATTTGAGGTCTAGTTGGTTGCTTCACCTGTTTACAGTCTGTGTCCATTGAGCAAACTAAAAGTCCTTTTGAAAACAAAGCAAAAATTAATAAAAAAAAACTGCCTTGAAGACCTCTACTTTAAACAATCACTTCAAAAGTGCATTTGAGGTCTAGTTGGTTGCTTCACCTGTTTACAGTCTGTGTCCATTGAGCACACTTAAAGTCCTTGTGAAAAAAAAAAAAATCGGCATACTTCTACTTTGAGCAAATTTACTTCATGAGCTTGTTTTTTAGGAACTGTGCCTTGGATGATAACCTCTGGCCATCCAGATTCATGAGAATCTTCTGCATCACTTCAAAGGTGCATTTGAGGTCTGGTGGGTAGCTCAGGTTCAGACAGTATATTAGTCCAAATAACAAAGCACAGGCATCCCCAATGTTTGGTAACTTTCCAAGGACCTTCACACCTTCGACCAGGACACCGATGTCCTCTGGGTCATCTTCAGCACACGCACCCTCCTTTTGAATGACATACACCCCCATCACAGTTTGCTCCATGGAAGTGCTGGACTCGAGGTCTGTGTCCTGTGGGATGTTTTAGGATAAATGTTTTATGAGTGCATGAAGTCATTCATATTCATTTTATTTCATGTGTATATACATTTACAGACACACACACACGTTAATTAAAACACTTAATTATAGTTAGTTTATATCAGGTAATTTCTGAAAAAACACTAATTTTTTTTCCACACTGCACCTTCTCTGAATTTATCATACCAAGTAGGGATGTAACGATACGCTGAACTCACTATTTAAAGTTCACAATATGATTTTCTCACAATTTTCTCAATTTAAAAAAAATATATTTCTATATTTATATAAATTGTGCAAAACAAGAGATGTGTGCTCTTGTGTGCAACTTTCATATGAGATTCCAAGTCAGAGTTCAGCTCATTTAGCACGGCGTTCGTGGTTCGACTGGTCGAGACTGTTTTCCAAAGATGGCTCCTGCCTGTATACGCGAAGTGTATTGTCTTTATAAAGTATCTTCTTATTAAACTGTCTGTAAACTTACAGAGTTCTCAATGCTTCGGTTTGCTTGTAGGGTTATTGCTACAGTGTTAGTGTGAGGCTATTTTGAGCCTTGTTAGTGGTATTAACTAGCGATTTC